CTCTATCATGGTGGTTAGATTGTTTTCTGCCAAGATGTTATCGTTTCGAATTCTATGAACGACAGCATCGGCATCTTGATTTCGACCAACCAGGACAACTCCCCTAGGTTGTTCTTCTCGAAACTCTGGGGCTTCTAGCCTTTCGACCCTTGCCCCCGGTTCCATAATTTCTCTTTGTGGGCCTGGGATTATTGAGGCTTCTAACCTTGGTGCCCTGGCCCCTAAGTTAACTTCTTCTCTGGGTGGTCTATAAATTGGGTCGTTAGCAATTTGTTCTGTAACATGCATGTTTGCTCGAAATCCCGCCTGATTTTGCCTACGCCTTTCTAGGGGAGCAAAGAAATCTGCTATTCGACTCATGTTGTCAGCGTTTTCCCTGTTTGTCACAGTCACATTTTGCACTATTGGGGCAAATATCTCCTGCATGGTTCGTGCTAACACCCCTATCATATTATGGTTACTGTCATCCATCAATTGCCTAAAAGCCAACTGGTTTTCTGTGGTTAAAATAGGCATTATGCTATAACCCACTGACCCTTGGTTATTTGTCATAAACTGATTCGCCCCAGACCCAGACCCTAATTGTGGGGATGAATTCGATGTGGAATTGTGTAAACCTGCCATAAAAGATGTTGGCATTCCATAAGAGGAATTTCTGGTTCTATTTCCATCGAAACCGGGTGGTCTAGTTAATGGAGTGGCGGAATGGGATTGTGTCCCTGATGGTGGAACGAATCCCCCAGGGTAACCAATGGTTCCAGTATTTCCTAAGATCGAACTATTAGTTGATATGTCACTTACTCCATTGGTGGCTATATTACTGGTTGAAGATGCAACAGACTGTGCATTCGAAGGGATCACATTAGATGTTCCGATCGAAGTGGACACATTAGTGCCTGTTGTATGTGGGGCATTTTGTTCCCCTTGTTGATTGTCAGAATTAGACATTTTGGCCAAACGTTTTCTTCTGGATAAAGGTTGGTTGCTGTTGGTTATTTTACCACTTCTCAGGTTCATAGAACAACAAACTTCTTAGGTTCCAACGTTTTTATAATGGTTATGTCTCAACAATCTTTATTTCTAATGTCCAATTATTGGTCCCACCAGGTGTGCCAATTTGTTTCCAGTGATTTCTGGTAAACAACCGCTAGTCTTCCAAACTATCGAATAAACTTTCTGACTGTTATTCAATTCCTCTGGTAACTCACAGGATCGACTAGATTGATCCTAGGATTCCTTGGTCATTAGGGTAACTCTCATGATCGAACAGATATTCATGGTTGGTATTTGAGTGTTGTATAGGTGTCTGGCTTATTTCGATTTCTCTCTTAAAGATCTAAAGACGTAATCAAAATGTGCGTGTACGAAACTAAGTTGCATGAATAAATGTTAATTGTAAAGACATGTAAAATTGCATAAAAGGGAAGTAAATGGTTTCGAATTATAAAAACAGTTAATGTAAAGGATGTTCTGGAACGTAAAAGGTTTGAAATATGAAGAAAGCGTTTAATACAAGAAATCTGTAAATGACTTTAAGTAAAAATAGGCGTTCGAAGGATAAAGCTTGAAGGTAAAGGCATGGAAAGTATGACAGTTTTCTGGAATGTAAAGTGCTTGAAATGTAAAGAAAGCATTGAAATGTAAAGCTTTAATGAAGAGATTTCGAAGTGAAAAGACTTTAAATGAGAAAACTTATAAATGTTATTTGACAGAAAGATAAAGGAAAGTGCTGGAAATGATAAAAGGTTTTCATTAAATCATAAATATGTGGTGCTATCATACGTACATTGCTCTTGCATTCGTTTCCCTTGCCATGTGGTAGTTTGAATGTTACTGAGTATTTAGTACAATAGATATGACACACGAAATCCTAATACTAAGACTTCTATTTATACTAATTCGACCATAACGGTCTTGCTATAGGATTATGCCACGTTCAGAACATGCAGAACAATGCCTCTCTCTTCTTTCCACGTGTCTCCAAATGCTCCAGCACATAAATTTCAAACTTCGAATGTCCCGCTTCCATTTGAATTTCAAATGCTTTGGTACTTCTCCGTTTCGAACGTACTTCACAGACACAGCCTTGTTGTTATTTCGAGACTTCTTTAGATATGTACCCATAATTGCCACTCGAAGCTCCAAGCTTTGACATGCTTATTCGAAACACTGCTTCTGCTACTTCGAAACATGACGCTTTGTTTCATTTCGATCGAAATGTTCAATTCGCTTGGCTTCTAATAATATTATCAAAATCTTCAGCCAACAGCAGCGCTTTTATTAATTTTTTAATTTTAATTTTTTTTAAAACCCTATAGCAGCGCTTAGGGAGAAAAAGCGCTGCCTTTGATAAGGCCTATAGCAGCGCTTTTAGTAAGCGCTGTCTAAAGTATTTTTTTTTTTTTTGGATACCTACAGCAGCGCTTTTGCATAAGCGCTGTCTATGTAGCGGTGCCAAAACTCGTTTTTGGCGTAGTGATACTCAAGAAGACTTTGACAGTTGACATAGTAGATTTGTAATCAAGATTGACTAGTGGATTAAGACCTCGTTGAGAGAGGCGAAAACACTTTGGCGGGTGGACTGGAGTAGTTTGAGTTCAAATGAACCAGGATAACCAACATGTTCTTTTCTTTAAGTTCTAAAAATCTCAATTCAAATTCCCCCTTTCTTGTGTTTTTCCATTCTTCAAACAGTAGGAAAATTTTAAGTTATGCATATCATGAAGGTCACTGTCCAGGCACAACGAACGACGTGCAATTCTGAAGCCAATTGTCAGCGCAAAAAGTCAACACAACAAGGAAGGTGAGTCAAAGAACTATGACGAACATACCAACAACTCTGCTGACGCCCGTCATGACGAGCAGACCGTCAACCTAGTCAACGGCCATCATGATGTTAAAATCTAGAATTTTAGCCCAGTATCTGCAATTCAATTTCTCCACATCCAACATTCTTCTCCACCAGTCTACAAATATGATCTTTATGCATTGTTTTAACCATCCAAGCTTGTACCTAGCCCTAAATTTACTCTTGGAAAGTATAAAGATCCCACGTTGAGGTGTTTATGCAAATATATATTCTGCAATATTTTAGTTAGTTTGCTATTGTATTTTCCATTCTGTTGTTGCTGTATTTTGATGTCTGCACTATCGTTTCCATTCCGTTGTTGTACTAGATCAAAAGTCTCCCTTCTGAACAATATTTTTATGCAAGTTTCAGCTTTTGTTCGCTTTCCAAATTCTTTTTATTGTTGTATTTTTATTATGAATGCCTGTTATTTATTTACTGCTCTTAACATGTCTGAGTAGATTTAGTGAGTCCCAAACATGAGAACCGTCTTCTTACCTACGAGACTTGTATAAATTGCATGATTAATAAATTGTAACGGAAATGATCTTTGAATCCTAAAAAATTATCTTTTTAAATTAAATATTGTTTATTAGGAAAGTAAAAACACATAGATATCATTTAGGCACTTACGTGGCGGTATCTGAAATAAAAATTCGACCAATAGATTTTTATGGCCAAGCTAAAGCATGAATATAATTAGAATCTATCAAGAGAATTTTTAGAATTTTTGCATTGAATTTTCTACTTGTAAAATTCATAGTCTACTACGAAAGAAGAGACATTGAAATACCGTTTTACAACTCGAAAGAGCGAAAATGTAACATTATTAGACTTAAAAAATTAGTATTCTTAATTATCAAATATGCTAAAGTGATTTTTAATTAATTATAAAATTATTATTTTCAATGGGATTTTAAACTTGTAATTTGTACCCGCTTTCGCGGGCTATTAATTTAAAATTCAGTAACAAACACGCAAATCCGGGCAAAAATAAAATATTCCATTAATTTCAATATTTGAACAAAACAAACCATACATGTAGCATTAGATACACAAGGTGATAACATACAGCGGTACTCGCTTGTCAATTGGTTTTTGTGAAATTCGACATGTTCAATACTAAAACTAATAAAGTTGTGCACTTGCGCCCTCTCTACCTTGGCTGATTAGCAACGCATAATCACAAACTCTCACCCTACAAAGCATAGACAGGTGCTTTGAGGGCAATTGTTATGTAATAGCGAAATAAGCGATTATCGCAAATTATTGATCACAACATTACCAATCTCTCAACGTTACCATGCCAATCTCTCAGAATCAATCCAACAATTGGATTTATATATCACAATTTAAATCATATATAAAACGAAACTTTTTTCCTTTTCAATATGACATGTTTCTAGTGACTACTTACTTATAACTATCAATTTGTTTTTGTTTTTAATTGACTTTTTGAAAGTATTTTTTTTGAAAAAACTGTAAAAAATTTAAGATGTAAATTATGATAATGTCATTATTGGCATTTTGAAAATATGTAAGAGTGTCATGTTCATTTGTGTGGGTGTCGTGTCATGTATAACTCTCCCTTATAAAGCACCTTGGACCAAGCCAACAAAGAATAAGTGGGCATGTTGGCAACAAGCCCAATCACACTTATGACATTCTTTAGGATTTCCCTCTTTGTTGGCTAAATTCACAAACTGTTGGCAAACTAGATTCCCCTTGTCATGAGCAAGTACACTTGGCAACTGATGAGCCAGATTAGGATACAGAGTGTTGCTATATAACTAAATGCACCTAATCCGTATTGCTGATTTTTCAAGTACAACAGTGCATCAATTCTCCCCAAAACATCATATGATGAAACCATACAATCAGATAACTACAACAATCAAAGTCTTTTTCCTACTAGATGGAGTAAGCATTACAGTATCTACATGGATCAAACTATACTATAATGTCTATCATGAACCAGATAAATAGAGAACTTTAACAGATAGAACATATGGCAAACATGACAAAAAATGATTCCCTTTAATTAGTAGTAACCAACTGTCCAACCATATAATCTTGTTTCAAATAAGCATAATCATAGGTTAAGATCCAGAAAGAAACAATGGTGATTAACCTGAGAAGCAGAACCGCTTGATTATGAGGACTCTTCATGATAAAGGTGGAGCCCAAGCCCAAAGCGTGCACAAGCTCTTCGAAAAGCCATTGCTTCTGCCTTCTGTACAGGATCTCCATAGCTTGTATCATCTATTGAAGCAGTACCAGTTGATTCCCTAAATATCTAGAGAAATAAATCGGTTAAGATATGAATAAAGCAGAATTGAAAATAATCTATAGACAGAAGAAGAGGAGCTAACAAACAACCGAAGTCTGTTCGTCACGTTTTATGACCCAATCACCATAGTTATAAATATTAGATCTAAAACATGTTTCAATATAGCAGTCCAAAGACTTCAAAAGCAGAAGCATAAAGTTCAAATCAACGAGGATTGTAAATGAAGTTAAAAGAAAAAGATGCAAAAGCAATCTACAGTTGTCATATAAATGTAAATTTTGTTGTTGAGCAATAAAACTTCTAAAGGTCTAATTTATCCTAGTTTAGCTCCACATACAAGAATGCTGAATAACTCTTATCCCAAAGTTGAAATAGCATACAACAATACAACTTCTAAAGCTCTAATTTATCTTAGTTTAGCTCCACAGACATGAATGCTGAATAATTCCTATCCTAAAGTTGAAATAGCATATAGCAATCTCCATATGCATATAAGTTTTGTTGTTGAGCAATACAACTTCTAAACTCTAATTTATCTAAGTTTAGCACCACAAACAAGAATGCTGAATAATTCTTAGCCTAGTACACTATCCAGGTGAGTCAAATGCTTCTGCATGTTTTCAAGACTCTAAGGACATAGCTAGCTCGTGATTCTTTTATTCAAGTGAATATTTGGTTCCGCAAAAGTCACTCAGTTGATTTATATGCATGATGAAGAATCTGAGTTGTGCATTATTTATGATAGGAAAGATAGATTGGCTTAACTTTCCACAACTTAGCTGGTTCCAATATACTAATGGCTAATAAAGGCATTGCTACTGTGTTTTGAAGGAGGAAGATGATATTCTATATATACTTTTCCTTAGAACCAACACAAAAGGCTGTAATATTTGAGAATCAATATACTGATGCAAATAAAAGATTCAATGTTAAGTTAGGTAAACTATCTAACTTTTTATCATGTTTAAGGATCCATAATCAAGTTTCAATCACATCAAATGTCAAGTATAAGTAATAACTTTGTAGTGTATGTTTGAACATGCAATGGATGAGATAACAGTAAATCCCAATGTCAAGAATAAAGATTACAGGCAGAAACTATCCCCATGACACGTTGGTATCTCTTAACTTCTAATCAACACAAAACTGTTTAAGTCAACTTGTACATAACTTGATGATTCTACACAGAGCAGAAGTGTCCAAGTCACAATTTTGCACTTAATATACATAACCAGGAATTATCTAACCACTTTGATCTATGACAAACTAACAATTAGTAATTTGAAAATAACAGTCAAGATGATAGATACTAGTTCGGAAAAAAAAAAAAAGGAGAAAGTCATGTTTATGAATAGAGACATTAAAAAATGCTATATTTGTTCAAGTGCCAACGAAATATCACAATAAAAATGTCATATTTGTTCAACAACTCAATCTTATAAATTTATTCCACACCATCCACTCTAAACTTTCTTTCGTCCTATTTTTGGGATATAATTGTTAGTACGTGAGACACTTTTAGTGAGGAGAGAAAGATAGAGAATAAAGAAAAATAAGGATTGTATTATTGAATTGAATTGTTACAAATAATAATACAAACTATGACTATTACACCTAACTTATACACTAAATAGGCTAACAAACCCTAATTGGACTTGGACTTGGACTTAGGTTACACAACTTGAATTAGGTCTAATATCTTAACAATAATGTCTCACATTCTCACTAACTCGCTACTTAACAGATCATCCAACTAAGGGGATAAGTGAACAAAAGACAAACATTTAATGATAAGGTATAGAAATAGCATGGATGAAGAATCCAGATCAATCTCCTACCAAGACATATTAAGTACTAAACATTAAACAATACAAGCACGATCCTGCTTTTTGAGACAGTAAAATGTTTAAGTTTATCAATAGATGCTTAATGAATAAACTATTAGCACCTCTAAAGAACTAGAAATGAGAATTGGTCAATTATTGATGATTAGAATGTACTGTAACAAAACATCAAATAGCAAGAAATCATATTTAAAAGTGCCAATGTTAAATTTTTCCCAAAAATACCCTTAACCTATGAAGCGCCGACACGCCATTCACACGGCATATTGGACACGTGTCCGACACGGGTACTTGTACGACACTCGTACGACAAGTATTTGACACGTTTTTGAAGTGTCTGACGGGAAAAAAAATTTAATTGGAACGAACACGGGTACGACACTTTATTTTAAATATAGGACACTGTTCAACAAAAAATTCAGATTTTTTTTAATAAAAAAAAAGCCCAACTCAAAAATAGGATTCTTTAAGTTTTGTATTTTACTTCCCCTCTATAAAATCAACACAATTACACAATTAGCTACAAAATTAGAATCCCTTGTTTTTATCTTTACCACCATTCTTCTATTATAAATTTTTATTGATTAGTGTTATATACAATTCCTATATGCTTTGTGTAACCATGCGGAACCATGTGGAAAACTATTCAGACCATCCACTTTATAAAGAATTGCTAAAGCATTTTGTATTTGTGTGTATACTACTGTCACTGAAATTGGAACAAAAGATAGGGACGAATATACTCTAAATGTCCTTCGCAAAGGGGCTTTCATGTCACTTTACAGACAATCAAATTCAAATGTACTGAATGGATCTCCCTAATCTGTTTTCTCTTATTTATATCTAACCGATCCCCCTTACTTTCCCTTCTAACTAACTAATCTGTTAATGGACTAAATTATAAAATTGTTTTCATTATTCTATCTAATGATGCATCCTAATACTTTAGATGCACATTTTAGTATCCAAGATGTAGTCCATGTTTCTGGGGACCGGTTATATACTGTATAGGAAAATAAACAAAAATTGAAAGTACTAATGATGCAGTCCATGTTTTCTGTCATTTTATGTCTTTTTTTATTGATTGAAAGTACTAAAGTTTAAATAAACAAAAATTGTTACTTCTCATTTTGAACTCTTTATAAATTGTGCTCATAAATTGCATTACTATATTAATATATAAAATATATATAGCCGTGTCTGTGTCCTATGTTTTTTATATTAGCGGAGTCCTCGTGTCCGTGTCCGTGTCGTGTCCCGTGTCCGTGTCCGAGTCCAGACTTCATAGCCCTTAACACTTTAAGAGAAACCTCACAGTGAAATAGGAGTATCCAGGTATGAAAGAAATCTCAATAGTTAATACACTAACTATGCTTTTAATACTTAAATACCAATAAACAAAATGCAAGTACCTACCTCGGCATCAGTTCCATAAAGAGTAACTCGGTAAACAACAGAAACAGACTTGGCTTCAGCAGAATAGGTGATACTCCGAACCTCACCAGACCACTCTAGCATTGAATAAACAAATAAAATTAAATGAACTGTTAAACATTGATAAACAAAATACTGAACTTAGTCCTTGAAATTATAGAACTACATCAACCTAGTCTCCTACATTAGTATGCAATGTGACAAGACTCCGGCTCTATTTAACATTAATAACTTCAGAAAACAATAATTACATAAAATCTCTGCATTAGTTAGTCTCCTCAATGATGAGACTCTAGCTTCACCACCTAGGTTGTCAATAGCGTGCTATGGCACTGCTTTAGCGGCATAGCGTAGCAGTCCAGGACCTCGGCGCTACGCTTTTGGGCTGTTAACCGCTATCCGCGATAACGGAAATAGCGGCCGCTATTTGTGAAGTCGTGGCAGCGCTATAGCAGTTTTGTAGTGGTTTACAGACCGTTAATGTGAAGATGAGGATGAGGGCAATATTTTAAGTTTGAATTTTTTTCAAGGCAAATTGGTATTTTTTCCCTTTTGTTTGACTAATATAAAATCTCCTAGTATGCTCTTGGTTATTTCCAATTCTCTCTTCACTCAAATCAGCAAGCGGTTGATCTACACAAACTTTCTTCCTCCACATTCTTCTCAACCTAAAAATCAGCAAGCGGTGGATCTTTCTTAACCATTCTTCCACATTCCTCTTCACCTATTCATCTTTTTCTTCACTTTCTCATCCATTCACATCTATTTCTCTCCTGTTTTTCCGATTTCTCATCTATTTGGTTTTGGGAGAAGAGGGTCTGACTTAGGAAGTTGTTGGTAATGCCATTGGGCTAATGAACCAACAAGAGTTACTTGACATAACTCTAGACTTGCTTAGTGTCTACTGGAGGATATGAGGAGTTGGAGGTGGAAGAAGAAGAGTTTGGTTGAATCAAGTGATGAGCAAGATGATATTAATGTGGTGGAACTTAGAAGTGAAGATGAGACGGATGTGATTTAGTCACTTCGTTTACATTTGTTTACGTTTAGAATTTGCTTTAGTCATTTTGAGCACATTTATAATTTGATTTTTATGAGAACTTATATAGTGGTGTTGTTGGAATTTATGTATGTTGTTGCAACTTGCAACTTCTTCTTTTAAGGCATTATGTATGTTTGTTGGAACTTATTTTAAGTATTCATGTATTCATTTTAAATATTTACCTTGGTTTTTAAAGCTCACAATAGCGGTCATCCCGCTATCCACTATGCCGCTACAACATTTTGGGGCGCCGCTATCCGAGTTTAACAACCTAGTTCAGCAGTGCCTCTACAATAACAATCGAGTAAAAACTTTCGCGATTTTGGTTAGTACATCTGATTGCAGTCGTCGCAGTGTGAATGACGCACAATTTATTCTCTGTCACAAAAACATAAATAATCGTATCGGTATAGACACCCTCCGAAGCCGTTTTGTAACGTCGTTTTCGCGTTAACCGGCCGTTTTTTAAAATCTTGGTGAGGGATGCGTTTAAAACTAAAACACACACCTCATTGATAATAATACAAAGGACTAAGTTGATATAGCACTACAAATTCAAGCACTAAATATTGACTCAAATCAAAAGTGATCATGAATATATACCAGGAGCATGTAAGTTCAAAACACGGTTCACAACATGCCTGCAACAACAACAACAGTAATAATAAATAACAATATGAATATAAAGATAATGAAGTTTTAGTTTGTTAGGGTTAGGGTTAGAGTTAGGGTTAGGGGTAAATACCAAGGAATGTATCTAATGGGAAACCCATCTTTCTCAATGCGAGTTTTGACGAGAGAATCGGGAACTTTCTTGTTCAGCTCCTTCAGTATTTCAGACAGAGGTCTACAGATTCCTGAAGTTGGTACATCGTCTGCAACTTTGTCGAACTCTGATGGTGATGATGATGTTGATGCACGTTTCAGCTTTGAATAGCACCGATTTTGCTTCAAATGATAACACAGTGTTTTTCTTAGGCTATTCAATTTTAGGGAAGAAGAAGAAGAAGAGGCCATTTGAAATTAGTCAAACGGTCATTTGATTTCAATTTTGAAGTCAAATGGGTTTAAATACTGTTGATTTCGATTTCAATTTCAATATAATGGGCCTTGATTTTTTTTATTTTTAAAAAATGGGCCGATTTTTCTATAGCTCTTGACTCTTACGAATTTAAAAAAATTATAGGGGCTTTTCTTAAATTATTTTATGTTTTTGAAAGAGATGCTATGCAATTATGAAAATATCGCTTAAAAATTAAAAACACATTTCTGACACACACTTTATACACATATAATTTTTTTGTTTTTAAAATACGTCTTATTTTATGACTTAATTTATTTCGAAAATGTATGTTTTCAATGACTTTTTATTGAATGAAGATGTTTAGTTGTCTTGTGCTCAACCACTTTCTTATTATTTATTTTAGAAAATGAAGTTGGATCTAAATCTATAGTTTGAGCTAGAACCATGGATTCTTTCTTTAACTTATAAAAATGAGTTTATCAATTGAGTTTGTAGTTATTAAGTGATTTTGTAATTGTGTCTCATTTTAATAATGAGACAAGAAGATGATGATGTTGGAGTGTTAAAAATGATAACTGGTTAACTGGTATAAGGTTCAAAATGAGATAAGACAACTAAACTTCTTCATTCAATAAAAAGTAGTTAGAAAGAAATTATATTTTTGGAAATTTCCGGAAGTGCATTTTCAGAATAAATTTTGTCGTAAAATAGGGCGTATTTAAAAAACGAAAGAATTATGTATGTGTATGATGCGTACTGGAAATGCACTTTCAAAATTTGAAGGCATTTTTGAAATTTCACTTGGTTCGCTAGAAAACTATAGATAGGTTAAAAAATCCTCAAATTATATCCCATATTCATCATTTATTCCTCTACCCTTATAGTTTATATGTTTAAATACCTAAACTTTAAAAAAAATACTTTTTCTTATTTCATTCTAAAGAAAGCGAGAGCAGTTACAAACCGGACAACACAAACCCAAGGTATCTTATTCAAAAAGTAATCAGAGAACAAGAAGTAAGGAAATTTGGTTCAATATTTCAGCACAACGAAAATCTCACAAGTAAGTTTGTCGGTTTGATTACAAAAAATTTATACACACCGAATAACTTGACATGTGGTTATTTGGTTGACATTGTTGCTAACCGGAAAATTAGGAACCATGTTATCCGGTTCTTAATATTTTCAATAGGAGAGCTTGACCCAAGGTTACCCGATTCTCATTTTTGTTATTTTTAATAGTGCACGGGAGAGGCCGAAATGGAGATATTATTCGACAAACAGGTGAAGGACAGCAACCTAGACAAGTGATGGATGGAGAGGAACATCAATAGTTGCACCTGAGCCTGGTCCACATCAGCCGAAGTTCCCAGGGGTCGTCTGATACGTCTCTTCTGGTGAGGTACAAGGATCATGTTGCTCGCCATTTATGGTTGGCGGGGTAAGTCAATCTCTATCATATTATGTTGTATCATTTTTTTAATTATTTATATTTTATAACATATACAATAAATTGTTTTTAAGAGAGGCATCAGAAGAAAGAATTAAAGATTGTTGCACATCGTAGCAAATTGATAGGATTGGTTGCACGCAGTCTCCCACCAATGAAAGAGAGATAGTAGTCTGACTATGGTTTATCCTCTCTCTAGAAAACCAATTTGTCGATGATAGGTCAAAATTTAGTATCAGCATTTGTAGAGAGATGGCTTCCAAAAACATCGTTGTTTCATATGCCATTTGGCGAGATGACCATTACATTGGACGATGTTTCTTCTCTTCTTCATTTACCGTGTAGTGGTGATTTCTGGGACCCTACACAAGGTTTCACTGATGTTGATGTTATTGATCTTGATATGGATTTATTGGGTGTTCCTTGTATGGGTGCTTATTATAAGTTGGATTGGTTGAATGAGGTATTTGTGTGTCAGCAAGTTGATAGTATATTTAATTGTGCTGCTAGACTCTATATGATGTTGTTGGTAGGTTACACCATTTTTGCCGACAAGCCTTTTACTCTTGTAGAGAAAAAGTATTTATCACTATTTGGAGACTTAGTTGGATGTGGTAGATATAGCTGTGGAGCAGCTGCACTTGTTACACTCTACAATTATTTAGGAGATGTTTCCTACTTTATGTGCAAGCAGCTCGACGGATAAGCCTCTTTGCTACAATAAAAATGTTTTATTTTAATTTTATTTTGACTTCTCTTTATTTATTTATAATTATTTTAATTTATAATATTTATGTTGTGTAATAGTGTTGGATTCATGAGCATTTTTCAACTGTTGGCAAGAGAGGATTATCTGAGATTGCTGATGGAAATAGCCCGCTTCCCGGGGCGATGAAATGGATTTACAGGCAAAGAGCGCAAAAGGTTGATGAGCTTAGGCTTGTGTTGAATGCATTGACACCTGCTGATGTCATTTGGCTCCCTTTTCAGGATCCTAGAGTGCATAGTCCATTTGATGATATATGTTTGTACAGGGGTGGCTTGAAATGGTATGTCACAATTGTACTATACTTGCCTGACAAGTGTATGCGTCAGTTTAGATATATGCATTACAATTGTGTCCACCTCCTGATTCTGACATACTTGATGTAGATTTTGAGTGGATTGCATATCATGCAAGCATGATGGATGTGATCCGTTTGACAGTTTTCAATACTACAACATATGATGTGGCTGTTGATTACTTGGGTTGGTACTATAGGATGTCACATCCTTGTTTGGTACCACCACGTCGGGAGGTGGTGTGAGAAGTCCTGGTTTCTATCTATGAAGAAGGACCGCCAGATTTGAGGTTATCATTTATTTCACATGAGCTTCATCATTTTTTACATCGTCACATGGATGATGAGGAGGAAGATGGTTTTGCTGAGATATTTTGATCACTACGTGTAGCTCAAGACGGACTAGTCCTCATTGTGATGAGGATGATTGATGTATTATTATTTTTTAGACTTATGTAGTATTTTAATACTTATGCAATATGTTTACTGTAACGCCCCGAATTCTAGATTAATTATTTATTTAATTAATTTAGCATGAATATATGAGTCGTTGTGAAGTATTTGATATATATATATATATATATATATATATATATGTGTGTGTGTGTGTGTGTGTGTGTGTGTGTGTGTGTGTGTGTGTGTGTGTGTGTGTGTGTGTGTGTGTGTGTATGTGTATGTGTGTGTGTGTGTGTGTGTATGTGCGTGTGTGTATGTGTGTGTGATGTTTTGGTGTTTTTATATGAGTCCTCGTGATGATTTGTGATATTTTGATGAATATGAAGTATGATGGTTAATATGATGTTTGATGTGATGGTATGTGTGGTGTAGTGGGAATTAAGATGATTAAGAGGATTTTTAGTAATTTAGAATAATTAGACTAATTAGTTAGAATTATTTTAATTAGATAATTAGAAATAAAATATGAGGTAGAAACTATGAGGACATGATGGTCATTTGGGAAGAATAAGTGAGGACAATAGTGGAAAACCAATTAAGGATCCAAGGATTAAGTGAGACAAAAGAGAATTGGGATTTTAGAAGCGCTCATTCTGTATAATACTTTTTGGAAAAGGAGTAAGAGGCAGAGCAAAAGCTAAGGCACATAGAGGCAAAGAGGAATTGTAGAACAAAGAGGAATCAGAAGCTAGCAATAATCTTAAAGTAAGGGGTGTTTATCTTGATTATTATAATTGATTTAAGGTTTAGATAAATGTAGGATGTGTTGGGTTTTGGTGATTTGATGATTGTGTTGTAATTGATGAATTTATGTTGGAATTGGTGAAAATACCTTATTGAATTGTCACGGGTTTGTGTATATAATGTCTATAATATAGTATGGTTCTTATACGATGATTATGTGTTAAAATCTATGAGGATTGAGATTGTTTTGGTGCAAAATCGCAAGAATTTGGACTGGTTTTTATGCAGGAAATTGCAACAGGAAAACCATGTTCGCTCAAGATCGTCTAGCAATGGGAAAAGTCGTCGATCGATGGTGGTGTCATGTAGTCATCGTTAAGCGAAATGCAAAGTGATGAAGGGCGGAGAAGATAAATGTTACTGGAGTTCATCACTCCAAGCGTCACCGAGCGAAGCGGATGCGAAGGTGCGTCTCCAGGCGATGAAGTGGTGTCGTCGGGCGATGGTGTCCAGAATGGAAGGGTTGTGCAGGATTTTTCAGAAGGCCATAACTTGAGTTTTAGAACTCGATTTGAGGTGTCGTTCGAAGCGTTGGGTAGCTAATGTAATTAAATTCAATTAGATGGAATAAAATGAGTAATAAGAAGTGTATTCCAAGTACCTAAGTTAGAACGAAGTCAGGTTTCCCGTGTTGGATTATGATGATGTTTCGTTTATTATGATGATATGATGATGTTGTGATGATGTTTTGTTTATTATGATGATATGATGATGTTGTGATGATGTTTTATTTATTATCATGATATGATGATGTTGTGATGAATTCATGAATGATGATGCGTTTTGACTAGTCGTGGCTGTATTTATTATGTTGTTGTGTATCATGCATTCATGGCATGGTTTAGAACTTTAGTCCAGTGATGTTGTTAGGACTTCGATCCAGTGAAGATGGCAACACAATAGTCTAGTGAAGGTATCAATCCCATAGTGTGGATTGAGTGCAAAATTGTGAAGTGCTCTGGTTCCAACGTGGGAATTGGTCATATTAGTGGGGATCTTTGAAGATAATGATGATTGAGTCATCAGTAAAGTTTTGGTACAACATGCATGAGTCTATTGCATTGTATTACATTATATGTGACATTGCATAATGAGTTGTTTAAATGATGTTTGTTGATAAATGGTATTTTGATGATATGCTATTATGTATTGATGATGTTGTGAAGATGTGAGTATAACACGAGGTTCTGATGATGTGTGATGCCTTGCCTAAGTGCATTTCTACTATATTTATCCCTTATGTATTTTATAATAATAATGATTTACTCACCCTTTCTGCTTG